AACGTGGTGGCCCTTTCCGTCGACGTTGGCGGGCAGGAGGTGATTTCTGGCATCAGTTCTGTTCCTCTATCTCCAGGACGCTTCGAAGCACCACGTTGGGAGAAGATGCCGTGGGGATTCTGGACAAGACTCTTGAGTTTGTTGCTGTTTGGGCTAATCTGGGATCTTTGGAGGATAGATCCAGGGCCAGGAACTCTTGGAGCCAGTGGTGCACCGAAGCGGCTGAGTCCAGCATGAAAATGGCGCACGCGTACTTGAGGACGGGAGAACCCGCCAACGAGGAGGTTGTTGCATGTGGGGACTCGTTCACGAGTTCGTTGCCCGCTCGACTTGCGCATGAGAGAGAGAGAGAGAGAGAGAGAGAGAGAGATGTGGAAGGAAAGGTGGCAGGGGAGTGATGTCAAGGTCGAGGTTGAACCTTTCGCGCTTCCGTCCATGGCCATTCCTGTTCCAAAGCCGAGAGACATATATGAGTTGCGACACATCAGTTCCAGATTCAAGGCTTTCACATGCAAGCCTGATGGATTTCATCCTCGTCATTTCAGCCTCCTCGGCGAAGATGGGCTCTCGGCGCTTGCCAATCTCTTCCATCTTGTTGACATCCTAGGAGAAGCACCACAGCAGATGCAACATCTTGTCATCTTTCTCATGGGGAGACCAGGCAAAGGCAGGCGCCCCATTGGCCACTACAATGGATTCGCCAGACTGCACGGGAAGACACATCGGGACCCCTGCCGACAGTGGGAAGAGGCTGTTGGGCTAGGTCCTGAATTTTCAATGGGCAAAGGCAGGAGCGCGTTAGATATGGTGTGGAGGCAGAGTGTGCATGCTGAGAGGACCACAGGGCTTAGAGTGCATTGTGGGACTGTCTTGTGGGAGATCATGCAATTCTATGAGCATATCACGCATGAGAAGTTGCTTCAGCAGGGTGTCATCTCTCAGTTTCCGCTCCACATCCTTCTCTACACGCTGTCTACGTATCGTTGGCCGCGAACACTGCTGTTGGACGGGGCTTTTGCTGCCCCTGCCTGGCCGCAAAGGGGCATTGTAGCTGGGAGTACCTCGGCCACGTATGAAGCGAAATCTTTTCTGCTTCCCACCATTTTGAGTCATCGGGGGCAGGAGGGAACGAGTCAGGGTCTGCATGTCGATGATTTGTCCATTCATGCGTGGGGGACCCAGCTCGAGACGGTTGTTGAGAAGCTTCAGGATCTGGCTACCAGTTGAGTTGTCGTCCTTACCCACCATTTGGAGGTCCCTTTGGCCGAGAAGAAGCTGGTTTCTGCTGCTAACTCAAATGCGTTACTTAAAGCTATCCTGACCAAGTTAGGGTCCCTTGCGGGTCGTGGAGAGTGGGCCGCTACTAACTTGGGTTTGGCTTTTACTGCGGGTAAACATCAAGGTTGTAGATTTGCTCGAGCTGTTCGGAAGAAGCGTTTTAGAACGTTCAACTTCAGGATCTCCAAACTCCGCGGTTTGAAGGTCTCCCAGGGGAAGAAAGCGAGGTTGTTTAAGGCAGGGATTCTTCCTACGATCTCTTTCGGCATGGAGGTGCAAAGTATTGCACCACATGAACTGCTGCGAATCAGACGTGCCGCTGCCAGAGCTGGAGGTGTCAGCAAGCGGGGGTGCAACCTTGACCTCATGTGGGCAGTCTCCCCCAAGGACGACCCCATTCACCTGGCCGCAGGAGCGTTAAAAAGGTATGCTTGGGAGTGGTGGCACATGTCAGAACAATCCTCGCACGGACCTCGTCGCCACGCGGATGCGCTTAGCACAGGGGAACTGAGTAAGACCTTCCGCGTGGTGGAGAAGGAGTTTCGGAAGTCTCCAGGAAAGTCTTGGTTGGTCCGCACTAAAGGACCCATATCGGCTATGTTACTTTGGCTCCAGGAAGCGGGTTGGTCTTGGGAGAGCCCAGCTGTCCTAGTGGGTGCCAGTGGCCAACGCTATGTTCTGACTGAGAGCCCGCCCCAAGCTGTTGCTGAAGGCTTCACAAGAGACCTCAGTAGGCATTTCCTGAATAAGTATCTGAGGAAAGTAGCTAGTGAGGTAGGATTCGACAGTCCAATTGTTGGGGAGGGCTTTTGGCCCCCTGTAGTTGTTCGCACGGCCAAGAAGCTGGACGGTGAAGGGAACCACCTCTACCGCCAAATTTTAGCTGGAGCTTTACCCACAGGGTCTGCCTTGATCCAGTGGGGATATCAAGTTGAGGAGGTCTGTCCGTTGTGCCAGACGGCGGCAGACACTTCGTGGCATAGGATGTGGCAGTGCCCCTGCCCTGAGGCCGAGGAGAGGAGGCAGGAGCACTTTGGTTCTGATTTGTTGGCCCAGGCCCGAGCCGCGGGACCAAATAGTGCGCTACTTTCTCGCATTTGGCCTGTCATGCCAGAGATAGATGCTCCTGCTTCTGACTGGAATCTCACTTTTGTAGGGCCGCAAGGAGAGGAAGTCGAACCCTTTTTCTTTGAACCTGATGAGACGCTTTTCTCAGACGGCTCCTGCTACCAAGGCGAGATCCCTGAGGCAGCAAGAGCGGGATTTGGGATTGCGTCGATGTCAGACGACGGTAGTTTGGTCAGAGGGGTATATGGTCCCCTCCCTGCCGTGCACCAACAGTCGAGTGGTGCTGCAGAGCACGCTGGTTTGGCGGTCGCTATTTTGCGTAGGAATGTGGGCAGTGCCGATCATGCCGCCAACAGTATAAGAGTTGACTATTCTGGCCTTTTCGCGGGTGTGCGCAACGCTTCGAGGGTGTTGTCGGGCAGGACGCAATTCAGCTTCTTTTGGAGGGAGATTGGCAAGCGTCTCCAGAATAATCCGTGGCCGACGCTTTCCAAGGTGAAAGCTCACCGCTCGTTCTGTGAAGCCACTGGTGCTGAAGACTACCTGAACATTGCGGGGTCGACCATGGCGGATTTATTTGCAAAGCGTGGTGCTCAGGTGCATACTATTTCACCGTGTGATCTAGAGGCCCTCAAGCAAGGAGAGCGCGAATATCAAAGCCTTGTTGCAGGCGTCATCCATGTTCTCAAGGGGTGGCCCAGCTGCAGCCAGCAGTTTGGGAAGATTTCCAGAGCCCCGAGGCCCAAAGTGGTCCGACAAGGGGTGGGGCACATTCCGTCAGCACATGGCAATTGTATGAGGTGCCTGAGGTGCTTGAGGGTAGTGTCGGGGCAGACTTCCTCTCCTTGCGTTGCTCCCAACCCCACGATCCGCTCCTTGTTGGAGGGCGGTGCGGGGTCTGGGCATAAGTTGCATTGGGCTCGATGTGAGGAGTCAGATGCCCCGATCATCTTTTGTGTGTTGTGTGGTGGATCAGCGTCGGTCAAAGCCGATAAGCTTCTGAAGCCATGCACAAACCCCAGGAGGTCCTCTGAGCGTTCCAAGCTTCTCAGAGGGATCGTTCCTGGGACGTCCCTACGTCTGGGCAAGTCCTTTCCCCTTTCGTCTTTTCCCCCTTTCCCGTTCCCTGCTTCCACCCCACGGACTTCGACCCAGGACGAGGGAGTTTCCTCTATGTAGTCTGCGTTCGGTGCTCTTGGAGTGTCAGGACGCTCGTCAGTCTGTTGAGTCTGTTGAGGAGGAGGAGGAGGAGGAGGAGGAGGAGGTGGAGGACGAGGGGAACGAGGGGGAGGAGAAGGATGAGGAGGGGGAGGAGAAGGAGGAGGCGGGGGAGGAGGAGGAGGAGGAGGAGGAGGAGGAGGAGGAGGAGGAGGAGGAGGAGGAGGAGGAGGAGGAGGAGGAGGAGGGGGGAAGGAGGAACACCTCCACGAGATCCCCTGGAGACCTCAATCTCCGAGGGCCGAGAGCACAACCTTAGAGCCGTACGCCTGCGTCTGGATTGTCCACCAGACCCCGCCTCGACTGCGAGTGCAGCGCCACGTGCCCAGAGAGTGAGGCTTGGCGCTGCGCAAGGAGGGGCGAACCAGGGGGGCTGAAGCAAGGCGCACCCTGCGTGCACTGCAGGGGCACCATAGGAGCCCTCTTCGGCCCAGGAGGGGCACGGAAGCTGCGCGCTCCTTCGCGCCCCCGATTGCTCGCCCTCCCCGTAAAGCAACGCCCAACGAGGGCGGGGAGCAAGACTTCAGCGCCCCCCCTCCACCCCACCCCGCTCCCGGCAGCTGCTGGTTGGGCGCGCGCCATGGGAAACAGCATAACAATGACTACAACAAAAACGTAGTATCATTTAGGATAACAACCATACAACGTAAACTAACGAAACACAATAACAAACATAATCCTGAAAGCAGCTAGTTGACATCGTGCTAGTAATATGAATACAAGTCGCAAAACTAGTCATAATGCTACTTATTGCAGGCTAATTTTGCTACGACGAATAATAACAATAGCCTAACACGACTGCGAAACATAATAGTACCAATGCCGTTTATTTACATATAGGGATACGAATTACAATAGTAATGATGATAATAAGGATGATGCTGCTCTCGATAATGACGACGATACTAAGGACAAGCATGCACATACTAAAAATATGAGCACTACTAAATCAGAACAGTAGCAGCTCACAAGCGGGGCGCACAGCCGCATCTGCGCCCTCGCGGTCTGCACTCCGGGGCGCGATCCCGAGGATACGCGGTGGCACGGAGACGTTCCGCGCGCGGCATCCGCGACCAAAAGCGCCCCACGGGGTCGCGGCCCCAGGGGCCAAGCCCGCGAGGCTGCGGATGCGGATATGCTTTTCGCCCACTGGCAAGAAATTCTCTCACACTGTGGGGAAAAGCACAAGAAAACACACACACACACACTGTGGGGAACAAAAGCGCAGTGTGTGTTTTCCCCACCGTGTGTCTTTTTTTCCCCACTGTGTGTGTGTGTGTGTGTGTGCATGTGTGTGTGGTTTCTCCCCACTGTGTGTGTGTGTGTGCTTTTGTGTGTGTGTGTTTTCCCCACACGTGTGTGTATGTTTTTCCCCACAGTGTGTGTGTGTGTGTGTGTGTGTCTGTGTGTGTGTGTTTTTCCCGGCGCCCGTCGAGGTGGGCGACTGGGGCGCGTGGGGCATGTGCTCGACCAGCTGTGGCGCCGGCCAGCAGATGCGCAGCCGCGCCGTCCTTGGGCTGCGCGACAGCCAGGCGGGGACGGGGGTGGGGGAGGGAGGAGGATGAGGAGGAGGAGGAGGAGGACGAGGAGGAAGGACGAGGAGGAGGAGGACGAGGAGGAGAAAGAGGACGAGGACGAGGACGATGGGGAGGGGCCGGAAGAGCCATGTCTCCCAAGTGGGGTCCGACCCCATCTACGCAGTCCCGAGATGGGAGGCCTTCAGAAGAGGAGCCTGAGACTGAGAGGAGGAGGAGGAGGAGGAGGAGGAGGAGGAGGAGGTGGGCAGGGAGGCAAGGAGAACGATAGAAGGGGGCGGGGAAACGGCCGAGTGGCTCCCGCTCGGGCCCTCCATCGCGTGATTGCGCGGACGGGCGCGGAGCCTGCAGTACGCACGAAGAACAGATACAGAGAACATATTTCGAGCGTTGCCACGGCATTCGAAGTTTGGGAGGGTTGGACCATTTTCAGCAGGTGGATCTCGACAGGGCTTCTCAAAGAGCACCATTGGTGTCCTGCTTGACCGCCTGGGTGCCACGTTTTTATTGCTCAGGCACATAGCTGCACCCTCACATAGAGTACCACCACGAGCTGCTGTGGCAGAGCATCCCGACAGCTACGATGCACGCTTTCCCCCCGATCAATCACAACCTTGTGGAAGCGGCCACCAGCGTGGGTGATTACCTGCTGATTCACCGCCTGAGCACAGTGAGTGGCAACGTGATCCTTGCGCGTCGGAGCGAGACTGAG